TGCACTGGCAACACATTACATTAACCAATTTCATTATACTGCTGAGAGGACACATAAAAACTAACGGACTGAAAAAACTGGCTAAAAGCAGGTATAGTCAAAGCAGTCACGATGTAAACTTCCACACAGAGAATACATACATTTTACACACACACACACACACACACACACACACACACACACACACACACACACACCACTTCTGCTCTTCTAGTCCGAGACTTCTCTGAAAACAGAAAAATACTAATTATGCTAAATTGTGAGGGGACTTTGTGGTATATAAGTGTCTATGAGACCCACCCACACGCACACACACACACACACACACACACACACACACACACACACACACACACACACACCACTTCTGCTCTTCTAGTCCGAGACTTCTCTGAAAACAGAAAAATACTAATTATGCTAAATTGTGAGGGGACTTTGTGGTATATAAGTGTCTATGAGGGATGAGACAATGACCATAAAACTCATTTTCACTTGTTATCTATGGCCAAATATGAAACCAATTCTTCACAAATGAGCACATTAACCTACTGAGCCATCTGCCCCATTATGATGATTTAATACAAACATTTTATTTCTGAGTATCCAATTACCTAATTAAACTTGTCATCATTTTTGAGTGCCAATTCTAAACCTATTGTAGAAAGCTCTTAGAACGAAATAATTGTTTAATCCTGCTTTAGACCTGAAGATAAATTGTACAGTACTAATTCATTTTTAAAAACAATATATGATACTAAGCTACAAAGTACTGCCAGGAGGCAAAAAAAATTGTTGCTTACCCTACTGGAACTGTGGTTCTTCAATATGTATTGTTCACAAGTATTCTGCTTCCATTTTGCATGCATCCCCACGTGCTGGAGCTCAGAATCTTTTAAGCAGCATTGTCCACTGAAACTCACCCTGTGCCCTTATCCTCCCCCCCCACCACCACCACCACCACACACACGTGAGGGCATACAGAGAAAAGTGTGGACCAACTGCCCCTTCATTCCCCCACTGATAAGAAGTTCAAGTGTTCTTAGATTCTGTGGTAGCAAAAAAGGAGGATTGTTTGAGGAATGTATATGGAGAACACATCTAAAAAAAACCCACTTACTGGAGGGGTAACTATTTTCTCTACTTCAAGTGTTTGACCATATATATTTTATTTCTGATTACTCATAAGCAGTCCTGGAAGTGGGTGTTCTCCAAAGGTGCTGGAACCTTTGCAGAAGTGGGGAGAGCCAAGGCCAAAGTTCCCCTTCCCTCTTCGACGCTGCTCTCTCTTCTGGTGCTACAGCAGCCAGGTGAAAGGTATAATTGCAGCATCTCCCCAGCAGAATCTATTATTTTGCTGGGGGCAGGGAGGGCAGGAAGGGGATCTGCAGGGGACATGAATTCTCGGCTTACATTTCTGTTGTTAAAAAGTGAGGGGACATGGTCCCTGATTACTCAGGTCCATCACCAGGAGCTCAGAGTCTACTTAAATAACTAAGACAGACAAGGGAATAATGCGTTTAATATATATTGACTCCAAGTAGATGCCCTCCAGACATCAGTACATTCAAATAAGCCAGAGGCTCACATGGGGATTCCATGAACCACAGAAGGACGATGATGTTGAGATCCCAAGAAGAAGCTAGGTATTTGACAGGGCACTATGACAGCAAAAGTCCTTGAGAAATCTTGTCACACTGGGTTGTCAGTATCAGTGTTCTCACATACATATCAGTGAGAAGAACTCCGTCATCTGAAGAAGTGGGCTGTGCCCACAAAAGCTCATGATACCATCTACATGTTTTCTTAGTCTATGAAGTGCTACCAGACCATTTGTTGTTTTTTAAGTTTATCCTGTACAGACTAACTCGGCTACCCCCCGAGTCTTCTCACAATCAGAGTATGACATTCAGAGACTACAGCTAAGCGGATTTCAGGGAACTTAATGCAAGGCCATTTTCTTTCAGGGATAATATATAAGCTAGAACCACTGGTTTTTAAGCTTCAATTGGGTCCACATTGACCTGGGCTGCCCATATAGAAAATCATTTCAGATTTTGCAGCATAGGTTTTTACTGTGGAGGCATTCTTAAACAGTTCATATTGTTTTTCCAGTAAGCACTCAGACCATCAGATATAGCAGTATTTGGCCTTAAATGTGAAACACTACGTCCACACAGTCAGGGAGATAACTGGAGGTTCACTGGACTACCGGAGAAGATCCAAGAGCCAGAACTGTCTCAGCTAATATGGGATTTCAAGATCACTGTGCCTGTGTCCCATCAGACCTTTTTTATCCTGTGAAGCAGCAGAACCAGAGGGAATGGACAGAGGAAGCTCTTAGACCACAGGAGGAAGAATGCATCATTAGGGATTTCACACGTATGCCTTCCCTGGAACAGAGCATCTTGCATTTGGCAGGCCCTGCTTATGTAAAACAGGTCTATGCCCAGGTCTCCCAATACCTGAAAGATAGGGTACATTATGGTGTCTCATAATCATTACATAAGGTTGGATACCAGTTTCTTGCTTAGTAAGTCTGACACACTCTTGTATATTCCTGGGAGGTAAAGTGCCATTAGGGTTACTAATATAGTTGGAAACATTCTCAGAGTTCGATGGCTACTAGCTTCAAATGAGATGGGTGTATGGCACCTGGTTTGTTGATATAATGCATTGCTGACGGATTGTCTCTCGTGATCTGCTGCACTGAATTTCACTGTGTTATATGGGAGATCTGTATTGGAGGGGAAGAGGACATTGATATGGAGGACTTTTGATGTATTTCAGTACAATTTAAGGATTTCGGAGGCTTTTTTGAGGAAAAAGCTCGGTAGAAATCTAGACACTAGTAGAACACCACCAGCTTCTGACTTGCTGGCAATAAAAAGGCATGGTAGAAGGGTCAATCCACCCTTTTTATGCTCTTGTATAGGAGAAACAGAGTGCAAGAATAGTTCCACCAGACACTGTTTACTTCTACAAAAAAGAATGCCACATATGCATGCATACCTAGGCTATGTCTAGACTACACTGATCTATCAGAAAAAACTCTGCAATTTGCGTACCTTTTTCCAATAGCTTTTTCGGAAGAGGCTTTTCCGAAATTTGGCCCATCTACACTGGGCCAAGTTTTGGAAAAAACCTCCTCTTTTGGAAGAGCCCTTCTTCCTCGTGGAAGGAGGAAGACAGGCCTTCTAAAAGAGTGCATCTGCTCTTCCACAAAAAAAGTGGAAGGGCAGACGTGTTCCCTGAAGACGGTGAGGTTTTTCAAACCGCATAGTGTAGACATAGCCGTAGAATGGGATCCACATTGACACACTGACAGAAATCATATCTAGAAACAGAGGTAATGTTTCCAGCAGTTGAACTGACAATTTTTCAGATAAGACGACAAGAATTTTCCCAGTCAGGCTGATGCTATTACAATCAGCATTTCTACATCTTGTCTCAGTTTCTTTAAGACGTTTGGTATAAGAAGGATTGACAACTATAAGAAGTCCTCTTAGCACCTTAAAGACTAACAGATTTATTGGGCATAAGCTTTTGTGGACAATAACCCACTTTTTGTCAGTTGCATAGAGTCAAATATATAGACATTGTCTCCAGGGTCCACAAGATGAGGCAAGCTTCTCTTCCAGAATTTAGACTTATACCCCTCTGGACTAGGAATGTGAAAGGTTAACTAGAACCAGGCAATGCTTACTGATCTGTTACTACAGATGCTAACCGGTGGGGGCTGGGCAGCTCTCCACCTGTTGTGGGCATGAGGCTGCTCCAGCCCTGCTGCGAACAGGGTTTGCTCGTCAGCTTGAATCTCGCTTAGTTGGTTAACCAGTTAAACGTTAGTTAATCTAACATTTAACCAGTTAACTGATTAACCAGGATTTTACATCCCTACTCAGGACCAGAAACCCTGACACCTTGTATTTGTCTCTGTGGCAAATAGATCTATGACTGTGACCACACTTGTGAAAGTAGGTCTGAATAATGGAATCTTTATTGATCATTCCTGATCACATGAGAACTATCTGCTCTGATGAACTGGTAAGATTTGTTTTACTCTGTACAGGAGCAGAGCTATTGGGGTGATGCAATGACAGATACCCTAGTTCCAATGACAAATTGTTCCCCCACTCTGCCCTTTTAGCCTTAGGTTGAGGAACACAAGGACACAAATGGCACAGGTGTGATTCCAGTGAGTATTGCAGGCCAAAAATTCCCATTTGAGCAAATGGGATGCATGTGCATGTAAATTTATGGACGCATAATCAAAGTACCATACTTTCAGTGACATACTGTCAGAATACCCTTAAGATATACAGAAACTAGGGATGTTAAATTTTGTTTAATCAGCTAATTGAGTAGTCAATGGAATTTCCATCAACTACTCAATCGGTTGATAAAGGGAGGAACTGCAGAACTGCAGAGGGATATGTGCGGGGAGCTAACCCCACTGTGTCTCTGCCTTTTAAAGCAGAAGCGCAGTGTCTAGGACTAGGCACAAGCTGGGAATCAGCTGATTCCCAAATGGCGCCTGGTCCTCCACTGTGGCTCTGCCTTTTAAATATAGTAAGAGCCAGGTACATCTGTGACTCCCTTGTCCTCCCTACCTCCTCCCTCCCTCCCATGAAGATGGTGCTCGGGGAAACTGACTTTTAAAACAGGCTACCCCAGCACCACCTCCTGCTCTTCCCCTTGCTGCCTCGATAGAACTGACAAACTGCCTCGATAGAGGCAGCAAGGGGGTGGAAGCAACTACTCAAGTAGTCACTTGACTACCTGATAAGCATATGTTTTTCAGGTAGTCAACTACTTGACTAGTCACTTACATCCAGTATTCCCTCCAAGTTGCACAACAGCAGAGCTTCACAGGTGTTTAAGCAGCCCTGCCCAGTCAGAGGCTCAGGGCTCCATGCACAGAGAGGGAACATTGCTTACATCCCTAACAAAACTGGGGCAAAATTACTAGGGAAGAACGAATAGTCCAAGTATTACTTTACCTTTTTGACAGTCCTTCCACACAATTTTTCTGGTTTTCTCATAATGTGTATTTAGCCAGATAAGGAGGAGTCTTTCAGATGGAGAATATATATTACTGGATAAAGGTTCAGTATTTATTCTTGGCATGCTTTGCTGGCTTTCCGAGTTCAACAGATCACTGATAGTAAGTGATGATATACGTGCAAGGACCAAAACCTGAAATTAGAAAAATATTTCCTCTTTTTACTAAGAAGTATAATAATTGCAATTCCAAGTAGAAGTAATAAAACACAAAAATATAATTATTTTTCAAATAAAGAAATACTTTCAGTTTTAAAGCTACCTGATAGATTTTAAATTGGCATCAAGACTGTGATGGACCAGGCCAGGTCTGGGCACGGCTGAGGGCATCCACTTAGGGTGAATTGCTCAAACTCGGGGCTCCTTACAGCCCCAGACTGGAGACCTTCCCAAATAGGCCACAAACCAGTCACACCGAGCACTTCAGCTTCCAATCTGGCCAGCCAGAAGCCTCACAAGCAAAACCTCTCCGATACCCCAGGTCTTCCTGTGCCCCAATCAGCCCTGAACCTAACACATAGGTGAGGGGTTACAGAACCCAATCTCACCTACCCTGAACGGGTTCTTCTGGTCCCAAGAAACCAGCCACAGGTCCCGATCAATTTACATTCTGGATCTTACCCACAAGACCACACTGAGCCAATCCTTTAGAATCTACAATCTAAAGGTTTATTACTAAAAGAAAGAAAAGCATGAGAGTAAGTACATTGTTAAAAGATAGTACATTACATGCATTGAATCACCCAGTTCTCAATACAGGCCCTTAGCAGTGATGTTATAAACTGCTATCTTAAAAGTCTCCAGTGTCATCCTATGTCAGGATGGGTCCACAGTTCTTTCTGGCTCGTGGTTCCCTGCAAGGCTGAATCTGGGATCAGGATCAAAATTGAAGGCCCTATGGAGGGTGCCACCTGGCACTTACATACCTCTCCTGGCATCTTCTTGGCTGCACCAGGTCACCTGGTCAGTGGCCTATCCCTGTGTTCCATGCTGGTAGCCCTTAGGTATCAGTCACATTCCTGACATGTGTATTGGCACCTAGAGATTCATTGTCTCCTTGCTAATTAGCATAGCCATAGGCTGAGCTTTCCTTCCACCTTTGCTCAGCCACAGAGAATTTTCCAGCATCTATACAGAATACATGTTTCTAACTCCACATACAGATATTATACCATTACATGAATAGCGCATGCAGAATCAGTAGAACAGAAGCTTTCATGTGACACCTCACATGGCCCCCTTTGTATACACTTTGGGGCAAACGCCCGCCCCCCGCATGGGTGCAGCATAATCTGGCTGCTCCCCTTAAAAATCCAGTAACGTGACAAAGACATGTTACATTAATGAGGTAGAGCTATCAGTTTCCAGCTTTAAAAATAGTTTAAATTATTTTTCTTTCAAGAGTATCATTTGCAAATACTGAAGAGCATGAAAATTAACCATCTCATCAAACACCAAGAAAAAAAAATCATGAGGTAAAAAAGCCTAGGCATGAATTCAAGCCTATATGCACCTATAATCAGGGCTCAACAAATACGCTTGCCTGCGGTGAGTAGATATTACCATCTGGAGAGTAGCTATAGACATAGGCTTGTGTACTACGAGTGGCACAGCCCCATCCGCCGGCCGGGTGGAGAAGCGGAGCACCGCTGGGGAGGGGGAAGTGTGGCAATTCTCACCACCAGGCTGCCTGCGTGCCGCTCCAGCATGAGGAGATGGGGTGCGAACCAGAGGGTGGGACGTCGGCAGACACCAGGACGCTGACGTGACGTGGCATCGTGACGTCATGTCCGGCGACCGCTGGATTAAAAAAGGCTCCTGGAGCCCTGCAAACTGGAAGGCAGAAGCCAGGTAGGGCAGGGGAAGGGAGGAAAATAGAGGGAAGGGGCTTGTGCTGAGGAGAGGGGGTAGGTCAAGAGAAGAAAGGGGAAGGCACCAAGGGACAGGGTGGAGGAGAGACAAATGCCAGGGGGACAAGTGTAGACAATGAGGAAAAGGGATGCAGGGGAGGTGTAAGTGGGAGGGGGGACAGGGTGATGCTGGGAGAGGAGAGAGTAAGGGCATTGGGGATTAGAGGGGGAGGGGGAGGTCCTGGGAGAAGGCTTGAAAGAAGAGGTGGGCATGAGGAGGGTAGGGATGGAGCAAGACACGTGTGAAGGCACAAGGGCATGAGAGGAATGGGGGCAGAGGGTGGTGAGGGGTGGGTATCAGGGGAAAAGGGGACAGGGGCAGTGAGGGAAGTGGGAGGCACCAGGAGGGTGCAGGTGCCAGGGGACTCTGGGGGTGAAGCAGAAGGGCAGACACCTGCAGTGGAGGGACCAGCACCAGAGGAGAGAGGCAGGGCAGGTGTATAGAGAGAAGTGTTAAGAGAGGGGTTGAGGAGGGGTAGCTCACATGGTCAGAGTGGGGCTACTGAAGGAGTGGGCAGAGGGGGGAAAGAAGGGCTGGCAGAGAGGGGCAGATCTCAGGAAGGCTGAAGGCAGTGAGAATGGCAGGAGTCAGGACAGCAGAGGAGGGTGAGGGGTTGGGGGGCAGCAGGCACCAGGGGAGCTTATGGAGCAAGGGGAGGAGACATGGCAGCAGAGGGAAAAGGTAGAGGTTTATAAGATATTTAATAACAACTTGGGTGATAGTTATTAATATTTATTAATAACTTATTAGTAATTACTATTATTATTCTTATTAGGAATTTATGCCATTAAAAACAGTTTGGGGGGGGTGAGTCCCTTTCTTGTTTGGCGAATAGGGTTTTGCATAATTTGTCGAGCCCTGCCTATAATTATGCAAATATAGGATTAAAGTTGCTTTTCCATCCTCAAATACACAAATATGACATATTCACATGCATTTTCTTTCCACAATTATAATTCAACAGTGAACAAACCATTTTTCCTAAAATCTTCAGAATTTTCCTTATCACTGTTAGAAATGGATCAAGCATTCTGTTAATGTTATGCAATTTGTCCTCTAACCAAAATACATTTTATAAGATCTATGTTTAAATAAATAATCCTTCTCTAGTCTCTATTCAGTTATCCGTTAAGCAATCAGTAACATAGCAGATATTATTTCAGATTCTTCTATAGGGGTTCCTTTAATTCCTGGATCAAATAAAATGCAAATGGAAGATTCTACACATACTTCGTTTCCAATTATTTTTGATGAGTTGGTAAAAAATAATCTGAACTTTTTGCATTCCCAGAGTAAGTCTGGAATCCAGCTACATCTGAAATACTAATAAATCCTGTAATTATTTCTTAAATCATGTTTATGAATGCAAACCAATTTAATCTGTTGACAATGTTTGCAACATCTCCTTCGTAGCTCATTTAATTTTTGGAGCAAAATTCACCTTCCAGTTTTTCTTTAACATTCTTCTAGTGTCATTATTAAATTTATATTATGGTGTTACTAAGGCGACCCTTCTTATTAGGGCCCCTATACCCACAGGGATTGATGTAGCTCCTGCCTCAATGAGTTTGCAATCTAAAGAAAGCCTTTTATAGACAGTGGAGAAAGAGGCAATCCAATTTTTTTCATAAACACATGCTATTTTTTATTTCCCAACTTTCTCTCATCCTTGCTATCAGATATTGGTTACAGAGCATTGAGAGGAAGAAGGTGTTGCTTTCTAAGCATAAATGACAACTTGGAAAAATGCAGAAAGATATTTAAAGAAAGAGCACAGAAGTTGGTTGCTGGAGTTAGTATCATTGACAGAGTGTACAGGATAATGGAGAATGTGCAAAGAGACCAGAATAAATAAGTAGCAAATATCAGAGATGGGAAGAACATTAAACGTTAAGACAACAAGCGTCAGTCTGATATAGTGGCAAAGTAGCAGCAATGGGTTAATATAAAAGGAGTCATGTGTTCACACCCATATGCAAACAAGATGTTCTTAGCATATGAGTTGTGTATGAATGAGAACGTGCACAACATGGATGCCCTGAATTCCAATAAGGAGGAAGTCACAGCATTCAAGAGGGGAGATGAGGACCTTGAAGGGACAATTTTAGCTGTCTAGAGAAAAAAAAGCTCAAATTTTAGAAATGTCATACATGAAGAAATGGCAAGATTTGAACAACGGTAAAATTTTGGCAGAGACACTACATATGTGAAGCAAGAAAGAGAAATAACTCCCAGGGTTATTGGCCTGATAGAAATGACAAACAGTGGTACAATCACCACTGAAAACAAATGTAGGAGAGGGGAAATAACTCACCCACAAAGGAATTCAATTTTGGCCATGTTAGGTTTAAGGTATCCACAATGAAATGTGAGCAAAACAGAGATATTAGACTGCAAAGTTTGCAAAAAGTTAACAGCTGGGTTTATGCACTCTCACAAAATACACAAAGTTCAGAACTTCAACCCCATAAATTCTGAACCTCCACTTTCTCACCAACCTTTGTACTACAAATGGAGGAGATATCATGTAATAGATTCCTATATGTCTTCCTCTGATATCACTATTCAGGGAACGTTTCATAGCGGGTAAGTTCCAAAGATCAAACTTAAATTTTTCCACCCCCAGAACAGATAGCCTGATGTAATCCAGCTTGGGTTGATGGTCTAGGAAGGTGAATTAAATGTTTTCTGTGCAGAAACATAGAGGCTGTGTCTACATTGGCATCCCTTTCCTGAAAAGTGATGCTAATGAGACACTTCGGAATTGCAAATCCTCGGGGGATTTAAATATCCCCCGCGGCATTTGCATTTACATGGCTGACGCTTTTTTCCGGCTCGGGGTTTTGGCCGGAGAAAAGCGCCAGTCTAGACGCGATTCTCCGGAAAATAAGCCCTTTTCCGGAAGATCCCTTATTCCTTATTTCAAGTAGGAATAAGGGATCTTCCGGAAAAGGGCTTATTTTCCGGAGAATCGTGTCTAGACTGACGCTTTTTTCCGGCAAAAACCCCAAGCCGGAAAAAGTGACAGCCATGTAAATGCAAATGCCGCGGGGGATATTTAAATCTCCTGTGGATTTCCAATTCCGAAGTGTCTCATTAGCATCACTTTTCAGGAAAGGGATGCCAATGTAGACACAGCCTCTATGTTTCTGCACAGAAAACATTTAATTCACCTTCCTAGACCATCAACCCAAGCTGGATTACATCAGGCTATCTGTTCTGGGGGTGGAAAAATTTAAGTTATTGTAGAGTTGCCAGGTGTCTGGTATTCAACCATACAGTCCAGTTTTTGGGGCCTCTGTCCGGTAAAAAAATTCAGAAAATACTGGACATGCACAATGCTCCGTGCTCCTGAGCGCTGTTTAAGTGCATTGTGGAGTTGTAGCTGGACTCACTCATGCTTCACCAGGACCGTGCGTGGGACAGGCAGCGCCCTGGGATCCGCATGTGCCTGAGTCAGTCCCGCTCCCTGCTGGCCAATTCCCTCCCCCCAAACTC